TCACAACAAAAAAATCGAGTTTATCAAAAAGTAGAGAACTTCTTTCAAAATCCTTCTAAAAAATAAGAAATGTACCTATCTCTCTCTCCATAGAAAATTAAGCCCAGCCTCCCACTCTTCCTTTCCAACTTACTCCCCTGCTCTCAACTGAAGATTTTCCGGGATTTTCCTCCAAGAAGCACCAGAAAGCTTACATCAAAAGCGTTTTGAGATCTGAAATCAATTTCAGACCAAACCTTTTTTTCGTGGTACGTTCAAACAAAAGGGATAGTTCACTTTCGACCGTTTGCCGGAAAACCATTCATAGCATTGTTAGACGTAGTGGATCCTTTCGATAAATTTTTCTGTACTTTAATGGGAAACCTGCTCAAAAAGTGGTATTGGGTAATTGATGTACCCACTCAAAAAGTAGAGATGTATAATATACATATATCGAATAAAAATGTCTCGTAAGTTTATTTATATATCATTATTATATGTTCCCGGTTGGTCGGAGATCATTTGTGCGTGCAAAAGTCCCGTAGAATCATCATGGAAACGATTCTTATATTATTAAATGTATGAGCAGATGCAGTGAGGAACACTTTTGTACTCTTTTGTCTCCTCATCATTCACGCGTTATCAACGTAGCTCAAATGTCTAGCATCGTAGTCAATACGAATTAGCTTTACCTGCAGATCGAGGACCCTTGTTGTGGAATTCTGGTAGCCATTGATTTCGATTTTGCAGGTCTTCCTATATCGCATCTAAAATTTTTTCTAAGTCTTCATTACCCATGTGCAAACATATACGAATCAGACATAGATATATTGTTATATTATGTTCATCTAACTAGCTCAATTCCTCTAGACAACTCTGAATGTATTTTTTTCCTCTTGCAGCTTTCAGCGAGGCACTCAGTGATATAGCAAAGGATGCGCAGATACCATCAAGTCATAAAGGTATGAACAAATTGTGTAGATGAGGCTAGTAACCATTAACATCACAATATGAATATGTCCTAGTGAACGTGAGATAACTACAATGTATAGATCAATGTATAAGATGAACATGCAAAAAACATCACCTCGCAATGCCTGTAAACTAAAATATAAATTATGCTGAATCTATTAATATCCAAACCTTATAGTACGTTGATAATCAGTCACGAGCATGTTAAAGTTGGTCTCCATATTTCCGTATGATGGCTGAAAAAAAAAGGGTATACTAGTTATGCATGTGTAATATTTACACGATGCTTCTAGATCTTTAGTTTTTCAAAAAAAATATTTTTTCCTAAAAAAATAAAAATGAAAACAGCTTACACATTAGCTTGGTACTTTAAAACAAAATATAGCTATAATCTAGTGTTCATATCATCAACTGTTGTATCAAATCCTTGTATATAGTACAACATATCATACTCCTATTAGAGTATTGAAGATGCAAAAATTTTTATCAAACCACCATACTTTTTTAAATAAAATAGATGGTTTGTATGACTCAAAAAGTCCTCATGCATGATCCAATCACTATTCCTGATATCTCATCGTTGCCCAAGCAAGATTGTAGACAAGCACAATCAAATTAACTTTTGCTAAATTTATTTTAAAAAACGTAAATGATAAGTTATAATTTGATAATTATGTATCATCTTATCAGAAAAATTAATTTCGATAATCTAATAAAGGAGCACAAAATCCTTTAAGAATGAAAAGTAAATAAATTTCCTTAGATGAATTAGATTTCAATCAAATCTCTTAGATATAATTCATGTGTATGATGTCTTTGCAAGAAAAAAAACATTGAGATTTTTTCAATTTTTCTACAGTACTTGATTTGATACATAATAATTCTAAATTTGAAATGAATTTGGCAAAAATAAAATATGAAATAATTTATCATTGATTCCTTAGGTTGATAATCCAATGATGTAAGTAAAAAAACTTATATATTTTTTTTAAGGAATCAACAAGAGTGATAATATTTCAAACAAAAGATAGCTATGTTCACTAGAAATAAATTTAGTTTTCCATTTTATTTTTCTGATAAAATGAAAGTACTGTGTGATTCAGATTGGTTATAAATATATACTCACGTTGTTACTACAAAACAGAAATTCCGAATGTTGCATTCTACTATAGATAACTTATTCTTCTTCATCAAATCCTAATCATTTCAATCTTGGCAAGTACGTGAGAGGACAAAGAAAGAAAGAGAAGGATTTACTTGTGTTTCACAGATTTCTTTTGATGGTATTAAAACAATAGGAACATAGAATTATGCGTGAGCGCCTATTTATAACATAGTGATAAAAGAGTCACTGTTCATGATATTAATGATGAAGAAATTTTGGAATAGTCTCTAAAGAGCCACTGTTCACCATGGTATGAATGGTGAAAGAATTTGGTAAGCGATATTCCTTAAACATGATTGTATAAACTGCTTGTGTAAAAAAATTTATATAGAAATTTGCAATAAAATAATGGTACACAATATTAAAAAAATTATCTAAGCGGAGACCGTCATATTCATGCGAAATATTTCTGCCAAGCTTCATGGTTCTGGATCATGGAGCTTCTAAAGGCAGTTCACATCGACGGAACTCGACAGCAACTACACAATCGCGACTTCTCATTACCCGTAGGCAAAATTCAGTAAAGTCAAAGACACGACAGCAGCGTCTCGTTCTTGAGCGTTGGTAATGTCCAGTCAGCATGCAACTTCCCATACTGGTTCATAATTTGAAATCCTCGTCGGTAGCGCAAAGGAGGAGCATTATGGCATATGGTGGGTCTGCCACGTCATCTTGCCACGTTTTACACTTGGCACAAGTCACGGCAGCCCGTGTTGCCCCGTTCGCACAGCCCCCACAGCTTCCGTACCTTTCATGCCCTGCACAGATTACATTCTTGTCATCTTATCTTCAGCTGGTTTAATACTAAATTAATCAATCAGTAACTTTATATTAAATTATTTAAATTGGCTATTTTTTCTCAACCTGATGGCGATGGCAATGACGCCAGATTCCAAATGGGGAGAACTAATGGCAAGACATTTGGGATGTAAAGATGAAAGCTCCAAAGACGGATGAGGTCCAATACTCCCATAATCATGTTTGCAAAGTTTACGCGTGACGAAACGACCATCGAGTTCAGTTACTACTTTTCTTCCATTGTCTTGCAGTGTTTGATTTGTCGTTGTCAGATTCTCCGTGTCTAATGCAGTGGGTTGTGACCTACAGATCCCTTTTCAAAAACCGAGGAGTAGAGTGGAAAAAGTTATACTCAAACGCAGTATGATTTTTGCAGCAGCCTGGGATTTCAAACGTGTCGTGTAACTTGCAGAATCGGAGACCAGAAGATAACCATGAATCTACAGTAAGTGCACAATAATCTAGAGATAGGATTGGCAAAGAAAGCTTAGAATGGAGAAAGAGCACGGAAAACAATACATAGTTTTATATGCACTTTGGTAGATGAAAATGGTATCACATTCTGTTAATGAGGTCATGGACAATCGATTGTTTCGAAAGTGTTCCTCACAAGCTCTTCTCTTCGAGATGCAGGATTTAGATCTACAGTTAGGATCTTAATAAGCTTGTCTTATAATCAGTGTGTGAGAAACTAGAAATATGGTATTGTGAAATTTCATAATAATTCTAGACCAATGAGATTTCTTCTCCTATTTATAGTTTCTTTAGAGACTGTATCAGAGGTACATAGAAAATCGAATAAAACCTGCATTCGATAAATTATTAACTAATCACATACAATGAATCGATTTGAATTAAATGATTTTAACAATCTAAGATCAAATTGATTCAATAACAATCTCTGTCATATTAGAGTCCATAGAAATTACACAAGTTTATTTCATCTCAAATCATCATGTATGAGTTATTAATCTCTATCAGTTCATATTTGAAGTTATGTTCTGACTTAACTTGACTTAACTTAACTTAACATCATGTCTCACATCCATGTTAATGAGCATGAATTAATGAAAAGTAATGGACACAATTTTCTAAAAAAACAGAAAATTGTGAATATTACAAAAGATTTCCAGCCCAACCAATTACACTACTTTTCAACGATGAAATGAATACAAATGTCTATGAAATCTTCTTTTGACGAGAAATAATGAATCTGGATGTTAATTTTTCCTGATAACATGATAAATATGATAATAATTCATACACAAAATACACATAAAAGTTTGAGAGCTTTTATATTAAATTTTTAGTTTTCAAAATTAATTATTTTAATACATGAGATGTTAGATTGAGATGAAAATGAAAAGTGCTTTATTTTCATTTTATGATTTATGTATGATTCAAAATTTAAAAAATCTAAAACTTTTAAACTTATAAATTTTGCTACATATTATATATGATAATTACAATATTTGAACTATATATATATATATATTCATATTTATTTATTTATTTATTTCTTGAAAATGGTATAAGTGTCATAAAATAAAATAAAATGAATTTTCTTTCTATATTTTTGACACAATTTTTGAATGGAAAATGAGTTTTCATGTGATAATTCATAGTTTTCTTTTACATTCTATTGTCTTTTATTTTTCCCGATTGACATTCTAAATTGAAGATATATTTTAAAATAAATTTTTTTTAATTGATTTTTATTTTTGAGTTAAAAAATACAACTTGTGAGAAGTATGATTCAATTTTTTTAAATAAGAGGAAAAAAAAGAGAAAACTCACTTGTTTTTCCCTTCAGAAAAACAGGTGAGGCAGATCTTTCAGAGGTGAAGTAAAATTTTATATTTAATTATGTTGTACTGCAAGATTCGCTATTGAGGATGATTATGAGGATGAAAAAGTGTACAAAAATTGGAATTATTTTAAAAAAATAACACTATGATGAATTCTATATCTTTTACAAACTTTGCAAGGAATTAATTTGCGTGTGTTATTTCATTTATATTGAATCTACTGAAAAAGAAGAGTATGACCTTGGTTCGTATTTGATGAGGAAGGATACTGTACCATTCTATTCAAGATATGTTAGCTCTGGAGATAAAATATCATCGTTTCCCGCAACCCTTTGAGGGACGTTCTGGTTCGCCTCTATTGAACATAAGTCTTTGGAGTTGCCATGGCGTTTATAATAAATGTGTCCCTGATCGGTTATTATTAGCAGCCGAAACGTGTTTGTTTGAAGCAAAAATGAGGCCCAGGGGACCACGATGGGCGAGCACAAGAAGTAACGACCTGCGGGAGATACAGTTGCGAATTCTTGTGCACGGCGCGAGACGGGCACCGAGTTCAGATCATGAGTGACAGTGTGCACCGAGAGCGATGGAATCAGCACACGAATGCATTCCGCCCGCTGCAGACGACGATGACATGTTGCCTGAGGGACGGCCCTCTCGGCTAATGCGGCCCACATCTCTCTCTCCCTCTCTCTCTCTTCATGGATGCCCCACAATCGCATTATCGCAGCCGATCCGAGTCCACGGCTCTGGTTTCGCTGTACGAGCTTCTTGCATTTGACGCCCGTGCTTCTGCTTTTGTCCACGTGAGTACGTCACGGTCCAGGTGATGATTACTGTGTAACCGATCATCGTTCGAGGCAGGGCTTCGACAGGCTTGCATCTCCGTCCGCCTCTGATATTCTTGTACGACTCGATGGGCTCTTCCATCCTTTTTGGGTTATTTTAGCTTGCGCTTGTGATATTCTTGGATAATAAGCATGACGTTTGCAAGACCCAATGAGTGACATTGGCCTAGGGTTTAGGGTCAGTGGAGAATATGCAGCTATGGCGCAGCATCAGGAGCCCTTAGGTCAGGGCGGTGAATCTCGTGGTGGTAATTCGGGGCCCGATGCTGGCGTTTTGTGTTCATGCAGATGCTTAAGCGCCGCGTTTAGTGTGAAATTGCTCGGAGTTTGAATTCTCCCAGTCATGGTCTTTCGGTTTTTGGACTTTTTTAGGTCTTGGTCAATTTTCGAAGTGAGAAGAATGTCAAAGAATATGCATGCAATCCATGTATGCGACAGGAGCATTAATTGCGCACATTATTCTTGGACACTTTGAGTATTTTGAGGCCACTTCAGACAAGTTTTTGGAGTGACAACACAAAATAGGTTTTGGAGTAGATTTTGATATATTTAAGTTTCAATGAGCTTGTTAGATGAGGAGGCTTTACAATATCAAGTCCGCACGACATTGATGCCATGGAATTCTTCCTAGAAGCTTATCATCATGCGACAATGGGGATAATCATTCCTTGCTACGAGCAGAACCCACCCTCGATCTAGATGATATAGTTGTCCATTGCCCTAGTCTGCTAATTGACAGCATAAGTTTTCCTGGTTCTTTCGATACCGCAAAAGCACAAGGGAGATTACACAACTACGAGAGGAGGGCGGGGAGGAGGAGGAGGAGGAGCTGGTGTCTGGTCTGCAGGATTTGCTACAGGCCTTTTCTTATTTTGGTGGATGGATGTGAGTACAATGCGTTACATCTATGCAGTGCGACCTGTTTCCAGATTCGCTACAAAACGCCGACCGGAAGGCAACGTGAGTCTTGTGAGCAGGTTATCCCAACTGTTCCTTCACTATCTAGAAGATTTCCGATGACATATCAAGGCTCATATGAATAATGTGGATATAGTGCGTGTGCATTGTACCTGTATCCGATGCACATCGAGTCAAAAGCGACTGATTTGCGTATTCAAATAGTATATGCCGTTTGACTTTTCGATTTAACTGTGACACGCGAGCACGATTCAGCCCCGGGGAGAGAACCACTGCGCTCGAAATTAGCACAGTGCGCAGGGACTTTACTTCCCGATACTTACCCTTCATGTCCTTCCTGTCGTTGTATGACTCCCACCGAGGTCATCTATGTTTCTGTATAAAATAAGATTTTCTCTCCCCGAGTGCCGAACAGTTCTACCCGTCTCTGCTCATGTTCCATTCACGTTGATTACCTCCTACACCACCTTTACACCTCATGGCTTCTTCTTTTTCAACTTACCATCTTACCTCATGATTAGTACTCCAAAAGCAAACTTCTAACCCAATGGTAAGGGGACGTGGCATACCTATACTTCGTTTGAGAGTACCGTGTGATTGTTATCTAAATTGTGCTTAGAGATGCTATAAGTGATTCAGATTTTGAAGGGGGGGGTTATTAGTACTGTTTCATGGGAGGTTCCTCAAGTAGATGGGTATTGAAAAACCTCACATCCTTATGCAACCATCGACGATAACTTGAGACATAGTGAAACATTGGGTGAAAAACCTAGCATAGTAAGCGATAATTATATGGTGTAGCTGTTTAAATACCGTGGGTCCATTGTTTTACATCGACTAATGGCGAGAGTGCAATCCATGCTTCTTCAAGGTCATAGTAATATGTACATTGTTTGATCTATATACTTGGAACGTTGGATGTACGTGGATGAATACTTATAATTGTGATAGTGTTGGGTCTAACCCTTAAACACCCCTTGGTATCCTACTTGATCGGGTATCATACTTTTTGTTATAGTATTGGGTTTTCTCTCAACTCAAAGGTCATGAAAAATGTGAGAAGTGACCTACTTTTTCACATCCGTCAACTGCTTCCATCCACCGCAGCTCGGTGACAATCAGATCGTTAGCAGCAGCTGGAAGCAGATTGAATAGAACAAGCTTTTTCCCGGGCTGCCTTTTGGTGTTTGATAAGTCAACTAAAACATCACTGTAGAGCATTAGGATACAGAAGGGAACTGACCTCTGCTGGAGAGCACTGGTCGAAGAATAACTTCTCTAACTAGGCCAGATCTGTAGTCAGAACATCAGCAGGCCTTCCCTCCCTCCCTCCCTCCCTCCTCTGCACCAGCTTTCATAACCTCGTCTACTCTAGGCCTGTAGACTCATGATGCATCACCATCGACATCTTGGCTGCCTTCATCTTCATCCAGCCACAGGTTTTCGGCAGAACTTCATCCGCATCGAGTTTATTTACTCCCTCCCCTTCCTTTCCCCTGCGTCATCCTCAAGGTGCCCGGCATTTCTTCCTACACCGGAGAGTAGACTATCTGGCAGTACTCATGCTTAGCCAAAGACCTTCATGCCCCTCCACCTGGCAGCTGGGGGCATCTCGAGCAAGGACCACCTGTTCTGAGTTTATCTAAAAAGTGAGAAGATGGTGAAGAAATATCGGGCAGCGAGTTCGATCAACCAATCTTATCTCTTGGACACTTCAACAATCAAGGTTCACCATTTCGTTCGAGTTTCTTCAGACTCTGTTCTTCACGTTTTAGCAACAGAGTCCTAAATTTGAAGCCTACCATCCTGAAGACCACTTCCTCCTCCCCTTAGATCCATAGGCGGAATCGCCCCATTCCTCTCAAACTCTCCGGCGAGAGAGAGCCCAATTTTGGAACCATTCTCAACTTCCACTACGTTCTATGCTTGGAACGATGCTCGCTCGTCACGAAGTCCAAGATTCTGGATTCTAACTGACCTCAAATCCGGGGGCGAAAATCCGAAAAGTACCTCTTTGAGGACACTAAGAGGGCTGGGCCTTCTCTGATTGAATCCACGGAGAAGCTGAGACTGTTTATAGAAGTGAGGACAAGATCAGCATTCGTTGTTGACTCTCCGTACTCTGCAGACCCAACCCGATCCTCGTCCGGCCGTGCTCGTCGCCATCCCCCGCCAATCCAATAAGCTCCGGAAGGACGTCTAGATTCCTCGCGTAGGGTTTGTTATCCGTTCCAACTACTGAGACGAGGACTCGGTGAAGTAACGAGAATTTGGGATTTTAGGAACAATACCCCAGGAATAATACTCCATGAGGCCAGGTTCATTAACAGACTTGCATTAGAGAAGGAGATACTTACTTAATCATCATCTAATACATGTGAACCACGTGGTCAAAGGATTTACAAACAACGTATCGTACAAATAAGCATCAACTGAATTGACTGTTCTCTTAAAGATCATTTAGTTTTTTTGGGCTATATGATATGTAGACTAATCTATTTTTTATACGATCATTCACAAAACACGTGCCAAAGTTTGTTTTGATTACTCTACTCAACTTTATACAAAAATGACTTTTCTGCGTATTACTAACCACATTATGGTCTGTTATTATCGGAACGTCATGTACAATCCGTGTCTAGGTGGTTGCTTGAGAGAAGATCTTTGCACCCTAAAGGAGTCTAAGAATATAATTCGTAACTTTTACATTGTATCACACGTCTCTTTGGAAAGCTAGAAATGAAGAGATCCAAAACTCTACGAAGTTTACGCTTGGCAATGTCACTCTCTATCTTATAAAAAAATTTTAATCAAGCAGTTGAGAGCTTGCTTTATGTGATTTATAAAAATCAACTTGTAAATGAATTTCATTCATTAGAAGTAACACTTAATATGGCACAGCCATAGCAAAGATACAATAACTCTATACTGTATGCTGCAAATAGTATCACCTCAAAAATCTACCTTGTTAGAGTATGAATCAACGACTTTGTGTGAAAATTCATTGTTCTACATAAAAGTCTTCCTGCATCTTCAATCTCATTAAGCTTATTTATAGATAAGCATGAAGATAAAATGTTACAATTTTCATATTCTTTTAATTTTATTATTCTAAGCAACTCATCATATGTCTTTATTCATATCTCTCTAGTAGCTTTAAATATGGCATCAAATGTTATATATCTCATTTATAAAATAAAATAAAATTATATTTGTCTCGAAAATTTAGACTTTAGTATCATGTTTCAACATGGATACCTTTTTAATAATAAATAAGTGTAATTATTTCATAAAGACATGAGCTGATAAAATTTATAAAAAATATCTTTTGAAATATGTTTTTGCGATATATAGTTGAAATTGAAAAGTATTATCAATAATATATATTTCCAAATTCAATGGACCGATTCTTCTGTTTGTAAACAGATGATTTTATTGATGGACTCTAAATATATAATAGTATGGTAAAAATGATTTTAATTTTTTAGTATGGATTCAAATATCTATTCAGATTAAATAATTGATGAAGAACACATCATATTTAAGAACATTTGAAAGATTAGACATAAATTTTATATAAGAAGATTGAAACATAAATTAAGCACCTGAATTTCTAGATTATTTAGATTAAAAAACCTGTGCGAAAATTGTATTGAATGTATAATGCTTACTGTTCATTACTGTATTTCTATTTGAACTAAAATATAATCTTCCGATAATCTTTTATATGTTTGTATATTCTATCCTATATTTTTATATAGCATTTATATTTTTATTTATTATTTTATATTTCTGTATATTGTAAATATTTTATAGCTGATTTTTCTTATAAAATATACAATATACATTTATAAACTCATTTTGGAATGTCCAGTGCTAAATGTATTGGATAAGAAAGTGATTTGATAAATTTTCATTTTGATGTTTTTTAGTTTATAGTTTTAACATTTTTGTAAATTTTGTATTCAAATAAAATATTCTTGAGATTCAGGTTTCTAAATTTATTTTTGAATCTATTGATATACGATATTTTTAAATATTATCTTAAATGGTTTTGATATACTTATCCCAATTTTATTTGATAAGTTTATGGATAATTTTCCATTTATCTGAAAAATTTAAATAATCGTATCACGTTTTATTGTGATTTATATAAAATTGGAGGATAAAATTATGACAGATTATATTGATTCGAGATTTTATCTTAAAGTTATCTAAAAAAATTGCTTTAAATTATTTATTTGAGAATTATAAACGTAAAACCCTAAAGCCTTGAAAATTTGGCTAAAAAATTTATATACCAAATTAATTAATTTTTTTATTTGACACTATCAACTTCTATTGGTTGCAAGATAGAAAAAATTAATATTATGAAGATTGAAATGTGGAGACAATGAGTTTCAAGTATTTCTATCCATTGAAGGTTGTGAATTTATGTATGCTTGGATACATTTTAGTTGTTGTGGTATGGATAAAATGATCACATCTTGACAAAAAATAAAGCTAAAAAATGAAGCTTGTGCTTGGTACATTTATTTTTCTATGAATTTTATCTGATTTATTACAAATTTTATAAAGTAATAATATGGATATAATTTTGAATTTCTGGAATGAGAATAGAAATGACATAGAAGACTACCGCTCATTATATATAACTGTTTAACGCAGAAAATTGTTTTACCAACAGAGCTTAATCATTTTGTGTGTCACATAATTTCATACAAGAAAATAAAATAATAAGACACATGAAATAGCTTAGTGTGAAATTAAATATTATATGGATTTTGTTTCAAAATTTTTTCTCGGATATATAATATAAAGATGTTAAGCAAATGAAAAAATTCACATCTTTCACTTCGATTGTATTTTTTATATGAGATCAAATTTCTGTATAGATTTTATTTCAAATTAAAAATATATTATAATTTGAAATAAGTCATTCACTTTTTCATATATATATATATATATATATATATCTCTTGTTAATATATTGTAATGCATTATTTCCATGCATATAAAAAAAGCTTTTGAAGAGATCATTTTCAGATTTTTTTCAAGTTAATCATTTGAATGATATAAAAATGTTTAACCTCATTCTATTAGGGAAAACAGAAATGTAAATTAAAGGAACATTGAGAACAAGTTGTATACATTTTGAGAAAGCTGTTCATTGCACAGTCTGCCCTTTTTCATAGTGCCCACTAATAGTCAGTGCCATTGATGTTAAAAAAGAGATTCAAGAGATGTCAAGGAATAAATTTCCGCTCAATCTTGAAAATTCTGCTATATCATAATCTTCCACGGAACCTATTGTTTTATTATTTTGTACCCATGGAATTTTTCAAAACTACAAATGAGTTGACTGTAGTTTAAGAGTCTAAACACAATCATGAGTTGTTATTGAAGTAATAGATGAACAAGAAAGTATTTATGAATCATGCCTTTTGTCCTCAGGAGAATATCCAAAATATACTGCCGCATGCATTTTTAAACAAACGTTTTACACCTGGATACCGATCTAAGATGTCAGCCAAAAAACTCCAAACTGGCTTAAGTCGAGAACATATCTAAGCAGACTCCGCAATTTGAACTTTAAAACCCAAACTTAATTTAACATGCCGGAAATTCATCTAGAAAACCCTAACCTTTCATAACCTTAACCTAAGGCATAACCAACCTTAAGATTGGGTTATGCCTGAGGTTTACACAATTATTATTTTTAAACAAGTCAGAGGTATAAGTGATCATGCCCTTCTGCTATCCACTTCGTCCCTGATTCAAAATAAGAAAGATAGCAAACGTTTCTATTTTTTGGCTGAATGAGATTAACCGCCAAATTGGAAAGAGGTGGCTCTACATTAACGCAAGCTGGAATCTTCGGTCAATTGGGACCAACCCTTGCCACGGTCCAACAGGCACTTGACTTTGAACAATGTTCGACAAATAAGGTGGCACAGGGAGGGGCTGCTTCGAGGAACTTGGCCCGAGTCGAGTCGGGGAGAGAAGATGAAACAGTTGACGACCAGAGCTGCAACATACGATGCACGAGAGTGTTGCAAAATCAGAACTCTGCGATCAAAGGGCCGACATTCGTCATCGATCGACCACCACCGAATGGCGCCAACAAATTTCGCCAGAGCAGACGGATAGCTCGGCATGGCCATTCAAAACAGGAGGGCGAAGGTCTCATGGAGTCAAGGGCGGGCGTCTAGGGCAAAGAAGAGAGTCCCGGGTGTGACCGCGAAGGGAGGTGGTCTTGGCCTCTTGGTCTTGGAGAGGGAAACACATCATCAATCCGACAAGAATCATACTGGACCACCTGTGGTTCGCTTCATTGGAGCTCATTGATAGTCCGTGACTGCGTGTGCTTTCTTGGACAAAACCGACGCTTCATTTACGACGAGCAGCAGCAGTTTCCAGCGAGCTTCTTCTGCTCGACGTGCTCATGGTATGCAGCCGCGTGAAAAGCGAGCCCAGAAATGGCCCCAACAAGTTCCAACAATGGTGGTTGAGTGACTGGAGCGCAGCGCCAAGCTGTGCTCAGGGGGTTGGCCTCAGCTTGAACTCAAGCGATGCGTAGCGAGCGCTCTGCTCCAACACAACACCGGAGAGTAAGTCCGCATCAAGACTGTATTGCCTGCATGCTGTCATTGACTTCTCCGGCACAGCAGATATTCAAACACGAATCGTGAATTACCATGCAACGAACGAATGAAAGACGACGTCCTCGTGAAAAAACACGAGGTCTCACGACGGGATGAGAGACAGACTTAGGACTCCGGTTCACGAAAACGGCAAAGCGGAATCCTCGTCCTCCTCCCAACATTAAATTCACAAAAACGGCACAGCAGTACGGGTTTGGATTTGGACGAGGCGTCCAGACTTCACAACGCTGCGTAGCCCAGTCCACAAAACGGCTAACCTCCATGGCATCTGCTCTTTGGCCCCTTGTTCAGCGGGAAACGACGGGTGGAATAATTCGAATCCAACCACAGCCAAATATTATTATTATTATTATTAAAAGATCGACGTCTGTCCGAAGCGCGGACGAGAGGGCTACTCCCAGGGCCAGCTGCAGGCGATGCGCATCGCCTCCTCCTGCTGTGGATCGAGACTAGCCCCTCCAAGCGTCACAGGGACCGTGGTGGCCGGCTCGCGACGACAGCCGCGTGACGGAGCGGCCGGTGTGAATCCGCTCTTTTTCTGGATGGCCCCTACGGATCCTGGTCCTGATCCCGATCCGCACCATTATGACCTCCCCCGGCCCTTCCTAGAAGACGAATTACAAGACGAATGTTCTATTTCCCAGTAACTTACGCCCCATGCCAGAATCGGCTCCGCTATCGGCACTTAGTTAAGTCCCGCTAAGTTAAAGGTCCGCTCGTCCCATCCTGCTGGAGGTCGGTTGGTCGGTCGGTCGTCGGGGCCTCCAGAGACCTCCGCTCTGTATCTGTACTGTAGAGCAAACGGTTTCACGGCTTGTACTGTGATTAAAAGGCTCGGTTGCTTAAGATAATCCGATCGTTTAGTGGTAAATCCGCGGTAATGCGGTCCTGAAAGGGTGCGAGTAATATGCGTATGGGTGTATGTATGGAGGTGCGGGTGGGACCGACCGGACGGACCGGTCCGGTGAGGGGAAGTGACCGGGGCGATGTGTACCTCGACCCGCGTCCCACATTGCGGGACGGAGGGCGGACGGGGGTTGGAACCCAGGCTTCTTGCCGCGGGCATGGATGCTCAAAGGCGCGAGCTGCAGGGCTCCTGCAGGAGCTTCCGTGCGCTCTCGCAATTTTTGAGGGAGGCACAGAGAGAGAGAGAGAGAGAGGGAGGGAGCGAGGGAGGGTGAGACAGACAGACAGACAGACGGAGCAGAGCGCGTTGCAGTTCCATGAGCAGCAGCATTCTGTTCGCCTTGATCGGCTGGAGATCCTCTTCTCGGGGAGTTGGCTGCTGCTATATAGCGGTCCAGTGGACAGGGGAAGGTTTGCTAGCTGACTCGAGGAAATTGGCTCTTGCGCGATTTGGGACAGCCGCGTTCTTCCTCCGGCGGAATTGAGTTCAAATTGGCGATGCAGAAAGGTTTGAGCAAGGAGGAGGAATAGAGAGAAGAGAGAGGAGAGAGAGGAGAAAGGAGGAGGAAGAGGGAGGAGTGTCAGAGTGGGCAGTGAGCTCTCTCTCTCTCGAGGAGGAGGATCGGAAGGTTGCAGGGAGGGAGGGCAGGGGAGGGGAGGAGACGAGCGAGACGAGAAGAGAGTGGGGCAGGAGGGTGGACGAAAGGCTGGGGGGAGAGTTTGCTGCCACGGATCGCAGATATTGTCACGCATTTGGCGGGGACTGTCGGAAAGGCTCTACGGCAGGTGATGCGTAGCGCCTGTTGTTGGAGTGGTTGAAGCAGGGCGTTGCGAAACCACCAACTGGCTTGCATTCACATTCAATGCAATTGACTTCTATGACCGGTGCGTAGGCTCTCACAAGTGGTTGCCGGTCCCTCCGATCTTGCACAGCTTCTCCTCTTCCTGCTTCATGCACCTCGGACGTCTAGAGGTGTCAGACTGCGGCAGCCTCTTCCTCCTGATCCGGGGTATGAGCTGAGAGTGGTCAGAGAGGAATGTGAAGAGAATGCGGGAAGGTTATTTCATTTTAAAGAGGTTGATCTCTTGGTTTGAGCGATCTAAAGTTGCAGCTGCTGAAGACTAATTTTGTCGAAAAATTTCATCATCATTCCAGGACCGCAGGGGCAGAGAGTTTTGGTCACAGTCGATGTAACAAACGCCGCGTGCAGCTCGCATCCTGGTAAATTGTGACATACTGGATGAGCTGTTGTCGGCGGTACGGCATGTACATGTAGAAGCTCTCTTGTGACTTTTGAGCTCGGCGGTCCTCTGGATACTACACTCTCATTGGAAATCTCGCCACCCTAGAGAGGATACGTCCGGAGCAAATTGCCGGCAGTGGTGGCTCTCAATTTGGAACCGGACAGCAGACTTGTGCATTGCTGCAACTAAGTCAACCTTAGAAAGACATGGATGACGACCGTCAAATGGGCGACCAAGTGATTGAATTCTCTCCGCTCGCTTGGTGATCGCAGCCTCGTTGACAATGGTTTGTCTCGGAAACGTACACATCGATTCTTTTAAGACAGACAATTGCCATCATCTCTCTCTCTCGTCGCTAGGAAGGAAAGTGACACCGATCTGCATTCGGAGCTGAAATAATTGAGCTCTGTGAACGAATTCCAATTTGGACAAGCGAGCCGTTTTGAATATCGTAGTTGTTCGAGATGGACGTCATCAGCAGAGATGCTAGAATGCAGGCATCCAGAGTTGAAGAAAGTCAGGCAATTACTAAAGAATCTATCAGGCAGATGCAAGAATTCGTCGATGGAGGTACTTAACTATTTTCCTGACTCTGTTCATGTGTGATGCCTGCCTTTATGCGTTTCCCGATCCGTTCCATCCGCTTAGATTGACAAGTCAGGTACATTGAACTACGAATCAGGGTTCGGGAAGCTAAGACTTGATCTACTTGCTGAACTGGGCACATGTTTTGTGAGCGATGTCGTTTCACCAGATATTTTGTCAGTCCAGCAGATCTTTGACATTTGTCGAATGGCAGCGAAATTCGTGTTGCCTACTCATCTCTGGTTCCTACTACCTGTGGCCAGTAAATATTCGTGTATGAAGGTCTTCGTAATATGTCGTCTTGGTCAACATACCGAGTCATTGGCCAGGCTGGAGCTTGTGATGGCTTTTTGTCATTGCTCTAAGCAATCGAGCGCGATTGGACTTGCCATGCTCCGTTGCGAGATGGTAAACGAATGATACATTTGAACCTTAGATGATCGTCAAATTCAGCTTGGTTGATGGATGTCAATCCAAGAGAATAAAGTTGTAATTATTAAAATATCTCATCTGTTAGCTTTCGGCACAATTGAACCTTTTACATTGCTGACGATAGTCTAGCAAATATTGCAAAAATTGCAGCAAACTAGAGATCTCAACAATTCGCATAGGATATGTGAACTTGTCCATTCCATCCGCTCTGGCTAAGTCGTTGTAAAGCAATGTAACGTTTCCTCGAGTACCCAATGAATTCAGCCATGAAGTAGGAATTGGGAACGTGTCTTGGTCCTTGGGTCACAGACCTATTACGTCAGCTCTCTGCGTTTGTGGGATAAGCTTAAGAAATCGGACTTGGAACCAATTCACCAACATCCAACCGAGCCTTGCGTTTATGTTCATCTAGAAGGAGACTGAGGTTACTCGAACTCTCCGAACCATGACACTTGTTTTCGCCGAACGGACAGTTTTTGTTCACATCGTCGAGGACTGTGTCCATTTCAATTCAAAATCGTGTAGGCTTGTTTAGTTGCTAGATTGATTTCCTATTGGCCACTGTGAAAGAAGGTGCTGTACTAAAGAGTATTTGAAATTTTTTTTGGGGATTTCGTGCTTTTTTTGTGGGAAAAAGTACTGATTGTATTCGTATGCTGTGTTTGTTTGTCTCTGTTGGTATTGGTTGTTCTACAGTCGATCAAAAACTCCAGGCGTCCTACCGGGTGAGGCTTTAATTTCGTTCAAACTAGGTATCGGGTGCTTGCAGATATAGTTGCAACAGAAAGTATATTATGCAGGGTCAATTACATCGTGGAAATTGGTGCTTACGGTAGGATTGGTTTCAACGTCACTGTGGTGGGGCCATTACCTGTTTCGTGACTGCCGTATGTTGGACTAGCCCTAGAAATCCACCATTTCACTTAGTTGATGGATGGAAATGACTTGTGCGTGATCGTAGGACGATATATGATGTAACAAATATTCTGATACAATCTTGATGTTATATGCAGAATGTGCATCAAGGTTATCCAGATGCTACTTTAGAGCGTTTTCTAAAAGCCCGAGATGGAAATGTCCAAAAGGCTAATAAAATGGTGAGAAGAATTCCTAAATATCAGCCTTTTTATTTTAGCCTTCTAGGAGTTATACTACCTGTTTGTCATTAGGCGTAACTTGTCCGCACATATTAGATCAAATTCAGTTACAAATAGGGTTTGTTTTCTCACACAGGTCGTGTTGTCAATGTTGGTCAGCTACTGGACTGTTTAAATTGGAGAGTTTCCAACGAAATCGACAATATTCTCGCAGTAAGGACTTCGAATTAAAACGCCATTCTACGCTTTTTTCTTATTCTAGGCTGCACACCGAAAATTGCTACACAGTTCGTTTTGTTTTGAATAGGATATCAGTTTTGTGGACAAAATTCTGTATCTGTTTGCACTTGGGGCATTAACAATTAACGGATGTGTGTGGTGCAGAAACCCATAGAACCGAAGGGCTTATATGACAGTATTCGAAATTCTCAGCTTATTGGAGTTTCAGGTTACTGCAGAAAGGTAGATTTTGACTCTTCGATAATTTCACGTGACGTGGCAAGTTGGTGGATAATCTACAACATTCAATTTATTGGGGAGTAATACTGTTGCTAGTCCAAGATGTCCAGTTCTGTAACAGAGGGTAGGATGGCATACGGTCTAAGAGTAGACTGACCACTCTTATATAAATGTAATAAAGTGGGAGGGATCGTCCATCGAAGGATTGATTATTGCTGCCCATATATATTTCTACATGTTAAATATGTTGTTGAAAATTTTGCAGGGCCGTCCTGTGTACGCCATCGGAGTGGGACTGAGTGGTTATGATAAAGCTCAGGTAATGGTGCGTCGCCCTAACTTTTCTTGATGGTGCAAACCCACAATTACCTGGTGCCTGTATAGTTGACAATTCAATGACGATTTCTGGACCTTCACTTGCGTACTTTGGACGAGTTGGGTAACATTGTGATTAGAGGTGTTTTCATTTTCAACAACCTGACAATTTTTCATGATGCAGGTTGACAAATACGTCCAATCACATATTCAAATTAATGAATACAGAGATCGTGTTTTACTTGTAAGTCTTCGATTACTGGTGTAGATCAATAAAGTGAGTGAACCTCTTAGTGACAGGAGTGACAATATTGGTTAAGTTCCACAAAAAGATTCATGAAGCACAACTTTGCGCACTGTGTGGTAGTTGGAACGTCATCATCACTCCATGGCTGGTGTTTACGGAGGCCGTTGTAGCTAATGTACTCATTTAGTTTGTTTTATTCTGTGAAATAATGAGAAGAATTTTCTTAATCTGATATTTATGATTTTGTACATTCGAATGATGCAGCCAGAGGCCTCAAAAAGGCTTGGAAGACCGGTGGGTTCGTGTATCAAGATTCTGGACATGACAGGCCTTAAATTGTCAGCCTTGAGTCGCGTCAAGGTAATTGATTGCAAATTGTACATCACTTGAAGCGAATGGGGAAATTTAGGCTGCTCGTATGTTGGTTTTACCATCACATTAATCATTTATGGAACTTTACTATCTTCATTAAGACACCAGTATAATTTATCGTTTAGATATTCACACAACATGGTGCATATTAGACCAACTCGATTCGTACTAACGAGGCTTTAAGTCGACCTTCGGAGGAGAAAATAAAATCTTCCCTCATTGTGAAGAAAGGTTGTGTTCGAAAGGCGCAGAATTGCTGTATTGCTTGGGCCTAAATTTCCCGGTTTTTTCAAACTCATTCTCAAAGTGGTAAAGCAGAGTTTCCATACCGTAGATCTTTTTCAGTCAAGAAAGAAAGTATCTCTTAGTTGTCTATATATTAGCAGTAGAAGGCAAGATGCAATCAGGGTGGTTGTGTTCAATAACTATAAGAAGCTAAGGGCGTTCTCTTCTGTAGAGTTACAAGTACCATATGACACACATGTAATGTAACGTAGAGAATGATACGCTTTCACCGTGTATGGGTATCGCAGAGTTTTGCATGAAGTTAATGTCAGATACTCGTAGACGAGATAGTAGAAAGTTTGCGACCGCACCACGTAATTTCGTAAGTTTTTATGGCTTATGGGGTCCCAGAATACTTACATGTAAAGGTAATACGTACCTGCAGATTCTTACTGTGATATCAACAGTAGACGACTTGAACTACCCAGAAAAGACTGATACATATTACATCGTCAATGCGCCATATGTGTTTACTGCATGCTGGAAGGTAATTTCTCAAGCCCGTCTTTACTAGGGAACGGTGAGATAAATGTTTGTAATATGTTGTAAATGTCGAAGCATAAATTGAGAAGTTTAATCAAAATATATCTAAAATCGTATGTTAGAGAAATACGTGAAAATTCTATAGAAATAATGGAATTCCAGGTTTCTAACAAGTTAACGAGGGTTAAGCAAAGAATCACTTATTCTTACAAAGAAATCAGGATGGGAATTAGAGCAGTAAGCAAACTAATTCAATTGGATGATGGTGCGCATCAGGGATCTCATTCTTACCAATTTAGACTCGGCATTTTGAAAGAATATATATATCAGAATATATCAGTCAACCGTATTGACCTCGTGTATGGTCTTGATTTTCTCACCTGGTTTGTTGTTTTCTCCAGGCCGTAAAACCACTTTTACAAGAAAGAACAAAAAAGAAGGTGCAAGTCTTGAAAGGCTGCGGTCGAGAAGAGCTCCTAGAGGTATGAGACACCTAGAGTTTGATATGGGAAGTGGGATAGCATGCAATGTTTGATCCTGTCACCTTATAAACTGCAGACTTAGAAGATATTTGATGTGATTGCAGGTAATGGACTTGAGTGCAATACCTTTGTTTGCCCGAGGAAACGGGACAAAGGACGTGAACGGTTCAATGGGTACGTTGGATTGCTTTTCACCAAACCACAAATTCCACGTAGATCTTTGGAATTACATGAAGGACCAAGCGGAAGCACTGGCTGCCGTTAGTGCACGACCTCAAGGATCTGTACATGTAACAGTTCCCTCTTGGGAGGAGCCGGAGGTGGGGGGCTCAGCAGAGGTCGTACACATGATAGAGGAAACTATGGAAAAGCTTGCGGCGGAACAGAATGGCAAGGACCCGGACCAGCTTCTGAATGGTTTGTCAAGCTTGAAGATGCAGGATATCCCAACAGGTCCTAAAAGGAGTGAAAGTTTGCCTAATTTCCCGAACCAAGGCACAAGGTATTAACAGTTGCCCGGGGTCGACAGCTAGCAGTCATCCCCCTTGATGAATCTGGCTTCAAGGTTGCTCTCTCAATCTGATCTCGGCCGTCATAGTGTGCTTTAGCTGTGTATATGCCCATATATTACTAGTTTCAACTCTACACACTATCCTTTAGATGAAGTTCAACACCATGCTTGTGCTGTAAACCCATTTTTGTTCCCTTAGGAACTTGCTCCACTTACTGGAGATGGTGAATCTGTTACTGAGGTTCTGTGTAAAGACTGACGGATCTTAGGTGTAGGGTCAATAGGCCTCCTTGGGATATGGCAGGGTGATGTCCCTCTCTGACCGAGACGTGTGACGTTTACTTATAAATCTTGCCCTTCCTTGGCTTGACATGCGGCAGTCTGAGCTAATGTGAATGTTCAAAGAAATGAGCAAAGCCCGAATCCTGTGCCCTTTTTAGGTCGGGCACCAGAGGGCAGGAACTTAGCAATATTTGCAAAAGGAGTTGTCATATTTCCCAGTGCCAAGCAGGTTGGTCATTTGTCCCAGTGCATCTATGCCCAGGACAAGCTCTGACTAGATAGTGCCTCCAAATTTGTTGCGATACAAATTGAAAGCGTAAATGAAATGTATTATGAGAGACGAGTATGACTCTTTTATTTCGCATCAGACCACACTCTCCTATTCCCCCGAACTGAAGAAGAAAGGTCGTCATTTTTCTTCGGGATCTGTTGTTCTGTTTAGGCCTACGCGACCAACCGATGGGCGTTATTCATTTTCCGGCCTGATTGGGATTGGCTTCTTTCCTACATCGTACCGCACATTACACCATGCGGATATGTCAAATGTTGTTAGAAATACAGAAAGTTTGTTGGTTTCTTTGACTGAGTGCAAATTTCTGTTTTCCGTCTCCAGCTTCTCGCCGCCTGTCCCCAGACTTTTGATTCATGGCTGTTAGTGGTTTCGGTTGCCGTCAAAGCTTGAGCTCTATCGCCCTTTCAGTTACAGCAGAGATTGCATGATCAACGCGGGGAAAATTTTTTGACTCGAGATTCTGTTTCCAGTTTGTCCTCGCTTTTAGTTTTAAGATTGCAAATTCAAACAGTTCAATGATCTAAATATCCAGCTTCCTGTGGTACAATGAGGTTTCCAGTTAATACGGTCATGCAAGGCTTTTCATCCAGGCGCAAGAAGTCTCATCCATAAAGGCGTGTCATCTTCATCGAGTGCGAATGAAATTATCAAATTATTATCGGCACGCGATTCTTTTTGGGGAGTAAGTAACATCGTCACTGGTTCTTGTCCTTCAGACGTTGACGAGCTCCGAGCGCATCACTCCAGCAACTCATCTCTCAGGTGATATCGTGAAGATTAATTTCCGTGTTGAAGGTCGATGAACATCATTTCCTACCGCCCTGGTGATATTGAGGCTATTTGCCCAAAGGAGGGGTATGCTTAAATCGCTGGCAGCGGACTGTGACAGTGGAATCTCGGAAACACGAATTGCACGAGGAAGTAACTCTCTTTCCCTCACTTCACGTCAAAGCTAGAAGTGTTGACCATTATGTAGATGATACAACCGAAATATATTATATTATATTATATTGAAGTGCAAGATTTGCATTCATACAATATGCATCTATCACATTCCATAAAAAATAATATCATAAACTACCAAGAATTCTGCCATAAGCGGGTTGTCTCAAAGTTGAAGTGAGTATGAAGTAGACACTAATGCTCAAGATATATCGTTTTGAATGTGGCTCCCGAATGGCCTTAGTCACAATCCTCTCAGATTAAACTCTAGGGAAGACAAACGCACAAATGACAACAAATAGTTTGTCAACAAAAATCTAACAAATCCACATATTGTTGATAAGACGACTATATATAACCCATTGTAAAATAACTATATCTCAACCTAGAGTAACATCTACTTTAATTAACTAAAAATGATTAAGAACCTTCTACTTTTATTCATTTGTTAAAATTTTTGAATTATCATAAATTTTTAAATTAAAATTTTGGTTGATTTCCAAGTTGATTTATATAATTTTTTTTTTATAGAACCAAACATTCCATTTTGAGATGTTTATAATATCAAATTCGTTTTTTAGTATATTTTATAAACTCAAAAAATTTCTTGTGATCAACTATCAAGGTTGATATAGAAGATAGAGGAGAAAATGTTAGTTAATTTATGAATTTTTTTATCATAGTTATTTTTTTTCAATTGTGAAATATTTAAAAAATAAAGTATTTTCATATGTGATAGAAGTTTCAACTTGTGTGACATTTCATCGACACATTTTAATATCACAAAAAGATCAATGAATCTAGTGTTAAATTTTGATGTTCTTACAAGGAAAAAATTTATTGTATATAATTAAACATGATCTTCAACTCTCCATAATGAACATCTGCTTATTGTTTATGTTGATTTGGAGCAATCATTAACTTTTACTTTGTTTAATATAATCTTTTGTGAATATGCTTCACAAAATTGTTAATTATAATTACTTTGGTCAAAAATTTTCTCTCCTTTCGAAAGCTTTATCAAACTTGATGGAGTTATGAGATGAACACCGTATATGAAGCAAAATGACAATATCTTTGTGAATGTATTAACATAAGCTTTTTATGAAAATTCCATAAGAGTCAAAAGAATATCTCTTTCTTGTTGCTCTTTCAATGTGAATGCGTGTAATTTGAATATGATATAGACATTTACATTGCTGATTTTGATTTGAAAAAATTAAGCAACATTTTTCAAAACAAACTAGTGAAATGAATATTTCTATCAAAAAAAAGATTGAACTTAATTTATGATTTGCCAAAATTGCATCTAGTCACAATTGAGCAAGTCGTGAAACCATCATTGTTTTTGTGGTTGGCTTGACATGAATCATCTAGTTCAATGTATACACAAAAACTAAAACTGAATCATTTTTTTTAAAAATTTTGATGACTCACATACAAAATTTGTGGTGAAATGTATTCATTGTTGTTTTGAAATGGGAAGAGATTGTAATAAATTGGTTGGACTTTGATTACTTGACTTGTTTTTAGGATAAGCTACACATCTTCAAACATATAACATGATTAAAACATGACATGCGTGTGAGTATATCAACAAGTTGTTTTTTGCTATTCACATACACCATCTTCATGTTGAAGCGCTGATGCTAATCAGTCCATCAATTTTGTCATTTAGATACATTTTCTTGAGTTTTTAAATAAATGAATAATTTATGATCGGTCCAAATAATGCTTCTCGTGTTTTGTTATTAACACAATGATTAATTCTTCTTTTGTGTTTGTGATAAGTTTGTTACTTTACCACCAACTTTCAAGAGAAAAAAACAATTGGATGCCATCTATACTATCTTTCTTGTTGGAGTCTACAATTCATTGTTGTAACTATTGCATTAGTAGCCAATTTGATAGATCAATTAGGATAGTACATCTTGAAGATATATGCATGTAACAAAACATCTAAAGCTTGAAAAATTAGTTTTTGAGCTCTTTCATATCTTCATTTTTTGCTCTTGCCTAGCATGGATGTCAAAGTTTAAACTATACGAGCAAAATCTTTCACAAATTTACGATAAAAGTTGTAAATCCTAGAAAGCTTTTAGGTTTAGTTTGATACTCAAATTATGTTCATTTTTGAGTAGCTTCTATGTTGTCATTCATTTTTTGTATGTTATAAATCTATGATCCAAATAATGTTATTATTATCCAAGGTTTTGATATATATATATATATATATATATTAGAATACCGTCTAGAATAACACTAACAGATTTCTTCAGGTAGAAACAAAAAATATTGTTTGTTAATTTGATGAATGTAGCAGATGCATTGATGAGATTGTAAGACATCACAAGATACTCAAAGTACCCAAATCTAATATGAAAAACAATAGTCTGGATATCTTTATTCACAATTTAAATCTAGTTGTAGCCACTCTTTTAGATCAAATTTGATGATATTTTTTTATTTGAAATTGATCAAACAATTCATCCATACAACATAATGAATATTTTTTTTCAAGGTTTATTAATTCAATTCATAGTAATCAATACATCATTCCATGTTGGCATCTTTCTTTTTCAAAAATAACACTAGAACTACACAAGATGAAAGATTTTGGTGAATAAATTCTTTGCTAAACATCACTTTCATTTAAACTTTGCAATCTTCCAATTTGTTTGAAGTTAAACAATATGGAGCTTTGTGTAAGATTAGAAATGAGAGAAAAGTTCATTTAAAGATGAAACATTGACTTTAAAGATGAGATACTTTGAATGTATCTTCTCTCCCTTATATGGATATTTCAAACACATACACAAAGATAAAGTAGTCTCCCAACTATCCAATCTCATTCTAATGAATTGATGACATGGCGGATATATCTAATGAGCACATGGAATGCTGATGTGTCGCTCTCAATCAGCACACTCAATCGTTACTTAACAAGCACATGAATTCATGACGTGTTGTTTCCAACTAACACACTAACTAGCACATTCAACTAGCACACGGATTGCTTATGTGGCACTATAGATATTTCACTATCATCTACTTTATTCAATATTGAGTAACTTTTACTTTAGTTCAAAGTAACACAAAATGATTACAAACCTCACTCCTTTTAAGATGCAACGTACTTGTCACACATATGTTGGAACTCCTAAAGTATCATATGTGCATTTGCTAAAATTTTAGATGGTTTCCAAGTTGATTTATATGAAGTATAGCCTTTTCATTAAATCAAATATTCTACTTAGAGATATTTATGACCTCAAATATGTTTCTTAAGTATAATATCTAGCTCAAACTTCTCATGATTAGCTATCAAGGGTTGGAAGAGAAGGTGATGCTGGTTAATTGATGAATTGTTTTGATTGTAGTACTGCAACCTCCGAGCTGATCTTACTCAGGTTTATCTCACATGGCTTTGCAGTAGCTTATCATGATTGTAAAAAGTTTTCTCCTCATGGTCATTTTTCAAGCATCCTTTCATACATTCTTTCCATTCATCACTCAAATTCACACACACATCGACACTTTAAGATGCTAAAAACGTCACTCTTTCATTGATAAAACAACACTCTACATATGAATTCTTCAAACTTGTTTGAAAAATTCTTACTACTTCTCTATACTACTCAAAAATTTATTATAGTAACACATGATAATTGTTATCTAATTTACTTAAAAAAAATTAAATCATATTAAGTTTGACTAGTTTCCAATATGTGGTAACATGACATTGAACTCTTAAACCTTCTAGATGTTTGCTAATCCTTAGATTGAGATGGCGACATGCCATTTGTGAATTTCCAACTTCTAAAACTTACACTTGACAATAAATCAAAATTGAATTTAGTCTAACCAAAAAATTATCCATTACTTAGTCATATCCATCAAAACTAAACATGAAGTCAAAAGTTTTTTTCCTTTGAATCTGAATTTTTGTAAGAAACAATTGCACAACCAAATCTTCTACAACTACTCTTATTTTTCCACCAAGTATAGACATTATAGCTAGACATCATTAAATAAATTTAGTCATAACTAGATAGACTTAGTCATACCTAAGCTAACAATGATCAAATTATTGGCTTATAATAATACTATTTTCATATATACAACATCCGATTTTAAATTTATCCCTAATCAAGATGAAATGGTTTCAACTTGTCATGATTGACTCGATCAAAGTGCTGTACTCTTAACTCCTTGATATCATAAGTGAAGTTTTTCCACACATTT